GTTGGCACTGAATGAATTGGCGCCGCGCATTTGTTCATAGTTGTGATTCGTTAGAAGATCAGTCGCTGACGAATGCTGTTTTTTGTTGCTGTCAAATAAAAATTAGTGCGCCTGAAAGGCTACCGCTGTACAATTGTTTGTACACTGAAACTCCGCATTTAGGAATTACTTGTTTCTGACTATGGTTGTCATTCCAGCTACTAGATTGTTCCTACATACGAACTCTGTCTTGCCAAAATTTTCACACGATATGACATTACTATCGCATGAACTGTTAATCGAACCTACGAGAATAACTCCAGGAACTGACCGATAGAGTTTTTGTTCTTCCTCCTAAAATTTCACACTCAATTCAGACTTCAGAAATTAAAAATAAAACAGACAACGACTGTGAGACTGTAAATGAAAATGCAAGTGCCAAAGCTAAACAATAGATCCAGGTGTGTAAAAGAGAGCAATTATATCAAAGGAAAATACAATTCGTCCATTCCACTCTTCGCGTGCCACTCCGGGTGTTAACTAAGCTCTTTATTATCAGCGCGACTAATTTGACCAAGCAGGATATGAACCTGAAGCTTTGCGAGGATGCTCCCTGCTCATGTATGAGGTGGAGATTTTAAAATTAGTTGCCATATAAGCTTCCTTTATATTAACCCGGTTTAAATAAACGGTCTGAAGCAGTAACAAATTCGGCATCTATAAGCTACCCGATCGCATTCAAGAGCACTAGACTTTCAGCAATATGCTTTTTGGCTCACTGGAGCAGCGCTATAATGTTGCACAATAAAAAGTGTAATAGTAATAATTATAAATAGTCATGGTTTAATGGAATGATGAGTTTTATAAAACTCGAAAAGAGATCGTAACATGACGATTATAATAGGAATCCGCCTGTCGAGAACTTCATAAGCATAAATTTTAAGACCAAAAAAAACCCACTTTTTCAGCATTGTCCTGATAATCCACAAAGACAGATGTAAAAAAGGTGAAAAATTAATAAATTTAATGGAAAATGAGAACGCACAGCGGGATGTGCTGTTGATTTCGGTACGAAGAATGGCATGGCTATGCTAAGGCCTAACATAGGCGCAAGCACAGAGCCCCGCTTAGTGTACTTTCAAGTGGCCTATTTTACATGCAAAAACGCTCACAGCAAAATCCTCATTATTATCAAACTTTATTCCTCCGAGAAACTAATTTCAGAGCATTTTGTTCTT